CATTATCAATGGCAAAAATGTTCAACCTGCTGGTGCCTTCAAAACCACAGGCATGTGAACAAGTGGTAACCTTTTATTGAAGATGGCCACATTGCATTTATTGCAGCCATAGATTTGTGGCATGGAAACCCACCCCGACTAGTTCCTACACCTGGCACTTACACCTTGTACCTCCTATGCTTTGGCAAGTCTCTGGATTGGAGCAGGAGGATAATATACTTGCAAATGCTACTCCCCAGCTAAGGAGCAGAGCCTTCTTGTTTTGCACAAAGCCTAGTACACAAGTGCTCTACGGCAGATCCAAGATCAATATAACCCCTCCCCTATCAACAAAGGCCCGAAAACTCCCACATCCCAGTGACAAGGGTGCCTATGGTAGACCCAAGCCATAGCATTCTACAGAGAACAGAATGGCTCTGGCAGCATAGAACCAGGAAGTCAGTTAAAGTAGCAGCTCATACAGGCACCCAAGATGTCCAGAAATCTATTTCAAGAGGATCCCATTTCTCTCAGGTATGGAAGAGAAAAATATGTTAAAAAATGCTGTTTAATCTAAGAACTTTCTCCATATACTGGTCAAAGTTCCAGGAGAATGCTGGATTCAAAGTGGTTAGAACTATTTTATATAGGGAAAGGATTTGTAGAAAGCAAGTGGTGAAGAAAAGGATGATGCATCAGAGACTAGAATGGTCAGCAGCTACAGAACCAAAAGAATCAACTGACAGTCCAGTGAGCTGCACTTGTAGGAGGAATGTAATATCTGAGGAATGTAATAGCTGAGTTGCTATTCAGTGGCATCAAGTTAGAAAAACCCCAGACAAAGGCTGCCAGTGGTCAGCCTTTGTCCCTTCTCCATCCTTGCTAAAAAGCAAAAGATCATCTCTCCCTCAGTCAAGTTCACCAAGCTGGCAGCCTTGCAGAATGCTGCGGATAACCTTGAGGCTTTTTACCAACTGCACTGAGTTGCTGCATTAGTCAGGAGCTTATAATAAATATAATTTCTGTAATAGTGTCAATAGCATTGACAGTTATTAATCATACTGACCAAGTCAAGATTATGTTTTGCCTATGATCCTGTGACTCAAGGCTATGTTTTGCTTCTGTTAACCTTGCTTGCCTCAGTAACAGGGTCTTAAGACCACCAATTAAAGACCACCACAGAGTGGTCCCACTGTGGGCAGCCTATTGCCAATTATGACGTATGATATTTACCATAAACAAATGAATTTAAAGGTCAGATAACTACAACCAAGTAAAATGTGCCAAACCTGCCTTGCCTGGCTTGTCTATGAAACTATGCAACTTACCCCTTAAAAGCCCCAGCGTGAGGACTGCTGGGGTCACAGTCACAGCTCCCAAGTTTGTGCTGCATCCCTGGCAGGTCAGCTAGCCACTTGCCCAATAGATTCATCATTTTACATGATGCTGTCTCTGCGTGGTGGACTCCAGTGGGATGTAATATCCCCGCCGGGAGAAATGTGGAATCCCCTCCCCCTGACCCCATAACAGGAAGATGCCCCTGGACAGATAAGCAGGCCTGAAGAGACACTGATACCCATCCCATCCAGGTGCAAGATGCCACATCAAGTTCAAGTACCCAAATAGCTTCCAACATTGCACTTTCCTAGCCAGACCCACTGCACAGTAGCTTTCAAGGGAGCCAGCAATGTAGCCCACAGGCTCTGCCCCTGTTGTAGCACAGAGCAGCATGAAGACTGAACACAGGAAGGTCAGCATGGCCAGCTCTCTTGGAATACCCGACTTCTGACTAACGGGGACCTTTAGACAGGGAAAATAAACCTGCAGAGGATAGCTGCCCCAACTAGGGATCCAGCTGGCATGAAATTTACCAAGCGCAGGATCTGTATCCAGCTTCAGCCTGTGCCCTGATGTAGCAGCCACAGCTCTGGACTGAGCCTGAACTGGACACGTTAACCCTTCTGCTCTAATGAGGTCAAACAAGTTCCATAGATATTCATGGTCACTTTTCCAAAAATACTTCTTTAATGTCACAGTCAGCTTCCTAGGTCTGTTAGGTTACAAATTGTAATAAGGTGGTATGTAAGAATGTAAAAAAGGAAAGCATGGTTGATCTGATGCTTAATCAGGTTTATGTTCAAAGTGGAGACATAGTAGGCCCCACCCTAATGCTTTAGCAACAGCTTTCTGATTGATTTAAATTCTGTGTTTCTCTGTGTGCATGTGGTGCTGCTCAAGGCATGCTTTCTTTATACAATACTTTCTCCTGTTGGCTTTTCCTTCAGATTGGTCTGAGTTACTGTTAATAGTTGGCTCAGAGGATGTACAGATTCACAGCACATCACCTATTGATATTCCACCTTTTTGTGCCTTTGGATCATGAGTTTTACTCTGCTTTCATCAATACATATCTAATTAGAATCAAAACCATCACTAGGCAAGACTTGCCTTTCCAGTGTTTCCTGCAGGAGCACTGAGGACTTTGAATCTCCTAGGTTTATAATATGACAATGAGCCAAGGATAAACTCACCTCTGTGAGCAGAGTCAGTAACATTCTTGCGTCTTTGCATTCTTATCATTTTGAGAAACTAGTCTGAGTTTTATCAGCAACCTCAACCTTTGGATGTCAACTTCTGTCAATACCAGTTATTTAAGTGTATCAGTCTCTAATTGATACCTAGTTCTAGTTAGAGTCTCATACTCAACATAATTGAAGCGAATATTCCCTTCTCTATAAAGGACTCTGGTTTAGCGTCAAATTGTGTGCCCAAAAGTTCTGGTGGCTCCATCAGTGTTTACTATTCCAGAATCAGTTTATCCTAGGATGGGACAGAAAGAGGGTGAAGGACTTCTCCTAGCCTCTGTTGCAAGTAGTTTTCTAAGTCAGCAAAAGGCCCCTCCCAGACCTAAGCTGGGCCCTTGATGACTTTATCTCTGGGGCAGGTGGGGCAGGTGGGGCAGGTGGGGCAGGTGGGGCAGGTGGGGCAGGTGGGGCAGGTCCCACCTCCTGCCCAGCACTGTATAAATAGGAGTCAAAGGCAAACTGGAGCCATTCTCCTTTTTCCTTTGTGGGATTGTGGCCTTGTCAGCTCTGCTGGAGATAAACCTCTCTCCAGGGACACTGTCTGCGTGGTCTTTTGAGGTAAGTTCCTTCCGACCATCAACACAAGACTGGACACTTTCTAAGAGGACAATCGGGGACTTGTACTCGGCAGCAGCTAAGAAAGAAGCCCGGCCTGTTTGGGAAGGATACCTCGATGTCCATGGAAATCGAGTCGTCCGATGTGATCTGTCTGCTCCTGCAGTACCTGAAGGAGAACGGTTTACATCGGGCCTTGGCTACCTTACAAGAGGAGGCTGCTGTCTCTGAATACAGTGGACAGCATCGAGAGTTTCGTGGCTGACATTCATAGTGGCCGTTGGGATACTGTCTTACAAGCTATACAGTCTCTTAAATTGCCAGACAAAACCCTCATGGACCTCTACGAGCAGGTTGTTCTAGAACTGATAGAACTCCGAGAATTGGGTGCTGCCAGGTCAGTTTTGAGACAGATTGACCCCATGAGGATGTTAAGACAGACCTAGCGAAACATTGGCGGCTGGGTTTACTGGTCTGTCAGGGAGCAGTTGCGTGGGGAGCTCCGAACTGGGGTCTATTTAAGTCAAGCAGGCCTCAAACTCATTATGTAGCCCCAGACAAGCCTGAAACTCCCCATTCTCCTGCTCCAGCCTCCTGAGGACCAGGATTGTGTGTACCACCTACCTGACACATTCTATTGTTTTAATACAGAGGCAAGTTCACCATGTCATTGGCAGCTGTGGATACAGTTAATGCCACGCCCCTGTCGGGGTCCAAAGAACTGAGTTTAGAGGAACCAAAGAAGATGACCCGAGAGGACTGGAGGAAGAAGAAGGAGCTAGAAGAACAGCGGAAGCTGGGTAATGCTCCTGCAGAAGCGGATGAAGAAGGAAAAGATATCAATCCACACATCCCTCAGTATATTTCTTCAGTACCATGGTACATCGATCCATGGAAAAGACCCACCTTAAAGCACCAGAGGCCACAATCTGAGAAACAGAAGCCGTTCAGTTCATCTGGAGAATGGTACAAGAGGGGCGTAAAAGAGAATTCCATAACCACTAAGTACCGCAAAGGTGCCTGCGAGAATTGCGGGGCCATGACGCACAAGAAGGAGGACTGCTTTGAGAGACCCAGACGAGTTGGGGCCAAGTTTACTGGGACTAACATAGCGCCAGATGAGCACGTCCAGCCTCAGCTCACATTTGACTACGACGGGAAGAGAGATCGCTGGAATGGCTACAATCCAGAACAACACATGAAAATCGTGGAAGAGTATGCCAAAGTTGACCTGTCAAAACGAACGCTGAAAGCCCAGAAATTACAAGAAGAATTAGCCTCAGGAAAATTAGTGGAACAGGCTAATTCTCCAAAACATCAGTGGGGAGAAGAGGAACCAAATTCTCAGATGAAAAAAGATCACAACAGTGAAGATGAGGATGAAGATAAATATGCAGATGATATTGACCTGCCTGGACAGAATTTTGACTCTAAGAGGCGAATTACAGTCCGGAACCTAAGGATTCGAGAAGATATTGCAAAATATTTGAGAAATTTAGATCCAAATTCTGCCTACTATGATCCCAAAACTAGAGCGATGAGAGAAAATCCCTACGCCAATGCAGGGAAGAATCCAGATGAAGTGAGTTATGCAGGCGATAACTTCGTCAGATACACAGGAGATACCATTTCCATGGCTCAGACACAGTTGTTTGCCTGGGAGGCGTTTGACAAGGGCTCGGAGGTGCACTTGCAGGCAGATCCCACGAAGCTGGAGCTGTTGTATAAATCCTTCAAAGTCAAGAAGGAAGACTTCAAAGTGCAGCAGAAAGAAAGCATCCTGGAAAAGTATGGTGGCCAAGAGCATCTGGATGCTCCTCCAGCTGAGTTGCTCTTAGCCCAGACAGAAGACTACGTGGAGTACTCACAGCATGGGGCCGTCATCAAGGGGCAGGAGAGGGCCGTGGCCTGCTCCAAGTATGAAGATGACGTGAAGATCCACAACCACACACACATCTGGGGATCTTACTGGAAAGAAGGCCGATGGGGATACAAATGTTGTCACTCGTTCTTCAAGTATTCCTACTGCACTGGAGAAGCTGTTAAGGAGACTGCTAACGCCAAGGAGTGTGTGATAAGTGATGAGACTGGCGAAGAGTCGGTGAAGAAACCACAGACGCTCGTGGAGATGCACCAAGAAAAACTAAAGGAAGAGAAGAAAAAGAAGCAGCACCGGAAGAGTAGCTCTGACAGCGATGACGAAGAGAAGAAACAGGAGAAACTGAAGAAGGCACTGAATGCCGAGGAGGCCCGCCTGCTCCATGTCAAAGAGATCTTACAAATTGACAAGAGAAAGCGGCCATACAACAGTGTATATGAAACTCGAGAGCCCACGGAGGAGGAAATGGAGACCTACAGAATGAAACGTCAGAGGCCAGATGACCCCATGGCCTGTTTCCTGGGCCAGCAGTAACTAGCCGGGGGAGGTAGTCCAGGGTTCAGTCCAGCATGCACCGCAACCTCATAGATAGAAAAACTGTGACTTGTCACTTGGGGCTTGACTTCAATAAAGCTTTCAGAAGTCTCAAAAAAAAAAAAAAAGAGACCCAGCCTGAGCGGTACATTCATCTGGAGAACCTCTTGGCCAGGTCTTCCTTTGATCCTGGTGAGGCATACCCAGAAGGAAGCGGCAAAGAGAAAAGAAGA